CGCTCCCGGCCACCGCAGCCTCGACCTGCTGGGCTCTGGTGATCCTTCCGCCTCAGCCTTCCGAGTAGCTGGAACTACAGGCGTGCGCTATCACGCCTGGCTAATTTCTTGATTTATTGTAGAGATGAGGTCTCGCCAAATTGCCCAGGCCGGTCTCGAACCCGTGGGCTCAGGCAATCCACTCACCTTAGCCTCCCAAAGGCACGGGATTACAGGCTGAGCCACCAAGCCCGGCTGTATATTATTCTTTATTTAGTCATCTCTTGTGGGATACCTAGGTTGATTCCATATCTTAGCTATTGTGAATAGAGCTGCAGTAAACATGGGAGTGCAGATGTCTCTCTGATATAATGATTTATTTCCTTTGGATAAATTCCCAGTAGTGGGATTGCTAGATCATGTGGTAGTTCTATTTGTAGTTTTCTGAGGGACCTCCATTCTGTCTCCATAGTGGTTGTACTAGTTTGTATTCCCACCAGTAGTGTATAAGAGTTGCCTTTTTCCATATCCTTGCCAGCATTTGTTATTTTGTCTTTTTGCTAATAACCATCCTAACTGGGATGTGATGGTACCTCATTGCACTTTTGATTTACATTTCTCTGAAGATTAATGATACTGATAATTTTTTAATATATTTGTTAGCCATATGTATGTTTTCTTTTGAGAAGTGTCTGTTCAGATCATTTGCCCATATTTAATTGGATTTTCTTTTGATTATTGATATGCTTCAGTTTCTTTTCTATTCTGGATATTCATCCCCTATCAGATGAGTAGTTTGCAGATATTTTTTCCCATTTTGTAGATTATCTTTCACTCTGTTGATTGTTTTCCTTTGTTGTGCAGAAATTTTTTTTTTTTTTTAGTTGGAGTCTCACTCTGTCACCCAGACTGGAGTGCAGTGGCCACTTCTGGCCACCACAGCCTCTACCAGCTGGGCTCTGGCGATCCTTCCACCTCAACCTTCCAAGTAGCTGGAACTATAGGTGCGCGCTACCACGCCCGGTTAATTTTTGATTTATTGTGGTGATGAGGTCTCGCCAAGTTGCCCAGGCGGATCTCGAACCTGCGGGCTCAGGCAATCCACTCACCTCAGCCTCCCAAAGTCGCTGGATTACAGGCTGAGCCACCAAGCCTGGCTGTGCAGAAGTTTTTTAGTTTGATATAATCTTATTTGTATATTTTTGCTTTTGTTACCTGTATTTTTGAAGTCTTATTCATAAAATCTTTTTCCAGACTAATATCATGAAGCTTTAACCCCTAGTTCTTTGAGTTGGTTTTTTCCCCCCTTTTTTTACTTAATGGTCAATGTAATAGTGTAATCTGTGATTTTGTATACTGTGAGAGGTGAGAGTCTAGTTTCATACTTCTGCATACGGTTATCCAGTTTACCCACCACCACTTACTGAAGAGACTGTCTTTTCCTCAATGACTGTTCTTGGCACCTTTGTCAAAAATCAGTGAGCTGTAGATATGTGAATTAATTTCTGAGTTCTGTGTTCCATTGGTCTGTGTGTCTGTTTTTATGGTAGTAGCATGCAGTTTTAGTTATTACAGCTTTGTAGTATATTTTGAGGTCTGGTAGTATAATACCTTTAGCTTGTTCTTTTTGCCTAGGATTAACTTGACTATTTGGGATCTTTTGGACTTCCATACAAACCTTAGGAATTTTTTTGTGTTCCTGTGAAGCATGCCATTTGTATTTGGGATGAGGATTACATTAAATCTGTAGATAGATTTGGGTATTATGATAATGTTAGCAATATTAATTTTTTCATTCCATGAGCATGGGATGTCTTTCTATTTGATTATGTTTTCTTTTTTTTTTTTTTTGAGTTGGAGTCTCACTCTGTTGCCCAAACTGGAGTGCAGTGGCTTCTCCCGGCCACCGCAGCCTCAACCTGCTGGGCTCCAGCGATCCCTCCTCCTCAGCCTTCCAAGTAGCTGGAACTACAGGCGCACGCTACCACGCCCAACTAATTTTTTTGATTTATTGTAAAGATGAGGTCTCACCAAGTTGCCCAGGCGGGTCTCGAACCCGTGGGCTCAGGCAATCCACTCACCTCAGCCTCCCAAAGCACGGGATTACAGGCCGAGCCACCGAGCCCAGCTTGATTATATTTTCTTTAGTTTGTTTCATCAGTGCTTTTAGTTTTCCTGGTAGAAATTTTTTACCTCCTTGGTTAAATTTATTCCTAGGGTTTTTTTTTATAGCTATTGTGAGTGGGATTGCCTTCTTGAATTCCTTTTCAGCTAGTTCATTGTTTGTATATGAAAAAGCCACTGCTCTTTATATCCTGCAACTTTACTGAACTTATTTGTCAGCTGTAAGAATTTTTTGATGGAGTCTTTAGGTTTTTCTGTATTTAAAACGTTCTCAGCAAATAGGGGCAGCTTGACTTACTTTTTTCCAGTTTGGATTTCCTTGATTTGGATTTCCTTGATTTGGATTTCCAGTTTGGAGTCCTTGATTTCTTTCTCTTGCCCAATTGCTTTAGTTAGGACTTCCTATACACAGGTTGTTTTTGTGTTAAGTTCTATCTTCTGACCCCAATCCCAGCCTCAACTTTAGCCACTCTGGGTGGTAGGCAGTTGAGACTCTCAATTTCTACAGACTGTAGATGGAGCACAAATAGCCACTTCTCTCCTTACATTCCATTCTTCCATCTGTATTGTAAGAATCTGGCATGTTCATTCCTTTCTGGTGCTGCCCTCTTGCTCAACCTCAGCCATGCTAGAGCTCCCGGCCACATCCTGAAAATAATTAGCCTGGCCTCCTAGTGACTGTTTCTTGATTTGGCATCTGTCAGTAATACAGCTGATTTGCTCACCAAAATAACCACTAACCGCCCCTGAAGCCTAACTGCCTATATGTCATCCTAGTTTGCCATTCCCACAGACAGTTCCTTTGGCTCCTATTTTAGGGGAGTCTCAGCCCCAAACTGTGACTTTTCTTCCCATCGTTAAACTGAGACCCAGCTGGGAAAGTAAGGCTAAAACTCTGGCCCTATCCTCCCTTTCCCTGACCTGCAGCTGGCTAGGGCAGATGGAATTGATTTAAGCCCTGGACTAAAGCAGGGGTAGAGGGAGTGGGCTATGAAAAAGAGAGGCAGGCTGCTGGACTTCTTCAGAGGCTGGCCTGGCCAGAGGAGGCAGCATTCTGTCATGCTTACCCTCCTCTATAGCAAATCAATTTGCCATGGCCTGTGACTGCTGGAGCACTGGGTCTGGGACACTCTCAACTGCATATAAAATACGTTTGTTGCAGGCTAGAGGGCAAAGCATTTTTTGCCTTTTCTGTTTGTGTGGCAGACAGACCTGAAGATATTTGAAACTTAATTAAAGTTTTCAAACGAGAGTTGGACTTAGTGACAGCATTGTTAAGTGCTTGGTTTGTTTTCTCTTTCAGCTATCTCACGGGAGAGGGCAGTAGAGCTTCTTAGGAAATGTCTGGAGGAGGTGAGTAGTTCCCATGAGATCCTGAAAGGAATGTTCTGTCTCTGTTTGCTAGTATTGTTCCTGTTCCTCAGTTGCGTTTTTTCTTATCTTGACCAGAAGGTGTAATAAATACTCACTAACCAGATGTGAAGTTATTACCAGGGGTAGTTTGATTTGGGTAACAAGCTTATTTTTCTCTCATGGATCACTTCCTCATCAATGTCAGTTTTACAATTTAATTACTTTTCTTTCTGGCTTATCCAGACCAGTAGTTCTTGGATTTTAGTATGTATTAAAATCATCTGGGGAATTTTTTAAAAGAGGCAGATTACTCTCTTCCCCACCCCCCCAATTCTGATTCTGCTGTCCTGAGGTACCAACTGAGAATCTGTTTTAACTAGCAGTCCCAAGTGATTTTGCTACAGGTGGCAGCTGGAGCTATACTTGAAGAGCTACTGCCCTAGACTTTATACCTGCTCTGTTCTTGTGCCACCTGTAATTGCCATACTGTCTGCTTCCTTAATAGCACACCAGTCCTTGTAATCTGGAGAGGAAGCCTCACCTGAAAAATCAGGATCCAGAAAGCAACTAGGGAGCTTTGGGCAGAAGGGTATTGTAGCCTTAAGTTTGTGAGGCCAGGAACACACACCACATCCATTCTAATACTACTTAGAGGCTAAGGCTTTGGATATGAATGTAGGCTGAAGAGATCAGAAAGCAGCCCCATTAGGCTTTTTTGTCCTTTTTCTGTTCTTGTGGCCTAAGGATGAACTTGAATACTTGGTTTAGTGAAAAAGGAGGAGGATGAGAGCAGGTAGGAGCATTGGAAGTAATGTCATTGTGCCTCTTACACAAGCCTGTCATTTTCAGTTCACAGTGCCATCTCCCTCTTCCTCTTGTTTGTAAATCCCCCTTCCAAATCAGAAACTGAGGTAAACTCATGTGCTTTTCTTAACCATTCAGCTGAGAGATCGTATTAGTCTGGCAGCCCCAAGTGTTACAAGGGGCTGCCAGGAAGAAGCCACTGGAATAGCAAGTGTTCTTACACTTTATTCTCCACAGATCCTAAAGAGGGTCCTTTTAGAAACCTTATTTTCTTTTTTTTTTTTGAGTTGGAGTCTCACTCTGTCACCCAGACTGGAGTGCAGTGGCCCCTCCCAACCACCGCAGCCTTGACCTGCTGGGCTCCAGCGATCCTTCCGCCTCAGCCTTCCGAGTAGCCGGAATTACAGGCATGCGCTACCATGCCTGGCTGAATTTTTTATTTATTGTAGAGGTCTTGCCTGCCCAGGCAGGTCTCGAACCCGCGGGCTCAGGCATTCCACTCACCTCGGTTTCCCAAAGGCGCCGGATTACAGGCTGAGCCACCGAGCCCGGCTAGAAACCTTATTTTCTAATTGTCTCCTTTAAACAATTTTTTTATTAGTCCAGGCTCAGTGGGTCAGCCTGTAATCCCAGCCCTTTGGGTGGCTGAGGCAAGTGAATTGTCTGAACTTGCAGGCCCGAGACCAGCCCGGGCAACCTCGGTCTCTACAGTAAATCAAAAAACTTAGCTGGCTGTGGTATCACGCGCTTGGAAGGCTGAGGTGGAAGGATCACCAGAGAGCCCAGCAGGTTGAGGCAGTGGTAGCCCAGAGGCATGCCACTGCCCTCCAGCCTGGGTAACAGAGTGAGACTCCAACTCAAAAAAAATTTTTTTTAAAAAAATTAATAGAGAGGGAGGTCTTGCTATGTTATGTTGCTCAGGCTGATCTTGAATTTCTAGGCTCAAGCAGTCCTTCTGCCTGAACCTCCCTAAGTGCTAGGATTACAGGCTTGAGCCACCATGCCTGACTGGAGCTAATTTCTGACATAGGAGTTACCAACCAGAGAGAACTAGAAATGGAATGGACTGCCCAGCCCTCAGCTGCAGAGGATATGGGAAGCATCAAGGGAGAGAGGGCTGAAACCTGGGGAGGTGGACATTTCTGGGATAAGCTCTAAAGGGAGCAGGTGGAAAGCTTTGTATCTTATCTCTGGAGGCATTAAGTGGAATGTCCAGGAAGGATAGCGACAGAAACAAAGATTTCCTCCAGTTGTGCTCCTCAGTTATCTCCAGCCCGGTTAGTGGGGCTGTCCACTTCTGTGCACATAGATCACACTGCTCCTTTGGAACAGCCTCTCAAAGTCTTAGGAGAAGGCAGAGATGTTACTTTAATGACAGATCAGCCTGGATTGAAGGAGACAGAGCAGGGGTTGTTTGAAGTGTAGTTCTTTTGGCATTCTTCCCTCCACCTTTCCAACTGCACACACAAGCACACTCCCAGCTTACTGGTCTTTAGAATGGGTGTCTCACTGGAGAAAGGAGTTGAGACCTGGGAGTACACTGCTTTCGTCCAAGAGCTTACTCTGAGAGTAGTCACTCGTTATTAACTTACTGCCTTGAGACATTTTAAGAGAGCAGTCTGTGTTTACCAGACTGATTGGTAACAGGCTATGGGGAAGGAAAATTTAGATTGTCTCATTCTTTCATTAGCTGACTGACCAGACACAGGCTCCCTGCTGCATCTTCCAGTGCATGTTCCCTGCATCCCAGTCAGCCTCCAGTTACCGTTTGGGCTTTCCTCAGTGGCCTAGTACCGACCACCCCCAATAGAGTGTCAGTTCCATAAAAGCAGGGGAATTTTGTCTGCTTCTATTCCCAGAGCCTAGGACAGAGCCTGGTACATAGTTAGTGCTCAATAATTATTTGTTGACTGATTTCCTTTTTGTCTTTATGCAGCTCCAGAAACGCTTCATCCTGAATCTGCCAACCTTCAGTGTTCGCGTCATTGACAAAAACGGCATCCATGACCTGGACAACATTTCCTTCCCCAAACAGGGCTCGTAATGTCATGCCCTCCCTCCCATTTGCCAGGGAACTTTTTTTGATGGGCGTCTTTATTTTTTTCTACTCTTTGAATGTGCACTCTTGATAGATGGTTAATTCAGAATAAAGCTGAATGTGGATAAATTGAGCTCTCTGATCTGGGTCTCAGTTTACCTAACATCACCTCAGGAGCTGGAGGGAGCATTACCTTTTTTCCAGGACTATCTTTCCCCCTACACTTTCCCTCTGTTGATGCTCTCATTGCCCTTTAACTAGTGACCAGCCCTGTGTTCTGCCCCATACCCAGCTTCCTGGTCATCTAGCTCTTTCATGTATCTTGTTTGCTAATATCTCATTCTCTCTAAGGCAGTGGTGCTTTTTGCCCTTAAACTTAAAATTTTTTAAATTAGTTAACCTGAATAGGTAAAACATGCATTTAGTAACACTAATACAAGTAGTACAAAAACATGTAGTGAAAAATGTTTCTCCCATCCATATAATCCGATCTTTTCCTTTCTGGAGGAAGCTTCAGCTACTCATTTATTGTCTGTTTTTATCTATCTATCTATCTATCTATCTATCTATCTATCTATTTTGTTGGAGTCTCACTCTGTCGCCCAGACTGGAGTGCAGTGGCCGTTCCTGGCCACCGCAGCCTTGACCTGCTGGGCTCCAGCGATCCTTCCGCCTCAGCCTTCCAAGTAGCCGGAATTACAGGCATGCACTACCACGCCCGGCTGATTTTTTGATTTACTGTAGAGATGAGGTCTCGCCGCCCAGGCGGGTCTCGAACCCGTGGGCTCAGGCAATCCACTCACCTCAGCCTCCCAAAGGCGCGGGATTACAGGCTGAGCCACCAAGCCCGGCTATTGTCTGTTTTTAAAGAGATACTCTGGCTGGGGCGGTGGCTCACACCTGTAATCCCAGCCCTTGGGGAGGCCGAGGTGAGAGGATCACCTGAGCCCACAGGTTTGAGACCAGCCTGAACAACTTGGCAAGACCTTGTCTTTATAACTAATCAAAAAATTAGCCAGACGTGGTGGCGTGTGCCTGTAGTTCCAGCTACTTGGAAGGCTGAGGTGGAAGGATTGCTTGAGTCCAGCAGGTCAAGGCTGCAGTGGCCGTGGTTGCTGTAAGTGTGTCACTGCACTCCAGCCTGGGTGACAGAGTGAGACCTTGGCAAAAAAGGAACTATGGGAGTAGGACCTAGAAATCTATGTTTCAATAAGTCCTACAGGCGGTTGGGATATAAAGTTTAAGAGCCACAACTCCAAAGAAACTTCAATCTAGTGGTTCTCTATCATGACCAAAGAAAAGGATCACTTGGGAAGCTTTAAAAAAATTCCTACATTTAGGCTTCAAACCTACTCAGAATCTGAAGTAGGTTTGAAGCCTAATCATGTACATTAAAAAAGAAAATGCCTCAGGTGATTCTGATACACACATATAGTTAAGAACCACTGTTTTAGTAGCTTCAGTAAAAAAAAAAAAAAATCTGCATTATTTCCAAAAAGCTAGGTCAAGCATAAAACAGGTATCTGGTTAACTTCCTATGATACGTCAATTTACTGGAACATTATGCAACTGACAATAAGAGTTAGGCAAATCTGTATGTGCTGATATAAAACAGTCTCTAGTATACTGCTAAATGAAATAAGCAATATGTGGAATATTTAAAAAAATTTTTAAAGGGGGCCAGGCGTGATGGCTCATGCCTGTAGTCCCAGCACTTTGGGAGGCCGAGGCAGGAAGATCACTTCAGCCCAGGAGGTCAAGAACAGCCTAGGTAACATAGCAAGACCTTGTCTCTACAAAAAATAAAAGACATTAGTAGGGTGTGGTGGTACGTGCCTGTACTCCAAGCTGCTCTGTGGTATATTTATCAAAACCTAAGAAGCTAACATTGGTTGGTACATTAGTATTAACTAAACTCCAGCCTTTATTCAAGTTTCACCAATTTTCCCACTAATATCCCTAATGTCCATTTTCTGTTCTAGGATACAATCCAAATACCACATTGCATTTATCTGGGCATCACTGTTTTAAGAGACAGGATCTCACTGTCGTTCAGGCTGGAGTGCAGTGGCATGATCTTAACCCCCTGTACCTTCAAACTCCTGGGCTCAAGTGATTCTCCCACATATCTGGAACTACATTATCTTCACAAAGTCACAAGTTCTGGTATTTTTACTTCGCAGATCCCTTTTTTAAGTCTTCATTCCCATTCTGGTTTGTCCCTTCATTTCTGAGACTATTTTAACAGCCTCCTGGCTTTGCTATTTTAATCTCTTCCCTCTCCAATTTTTTTCCCATACTCTAAAAATCAGTTTGACTGTCCATTCATCTCTGTACTTAAAACTTTCTGATGGTTTTCCATGGCTTAGAGAATGAAGCCCAACTCTTAGATTTTACATGCTAGACATTTTATAATCCTTTTCCAACCCAGCTCCCCAGTCTTCTTTCCCTCTTCTTTATCTTATAAAGCCTGTGATCAAGCTAAATTTGTGACCTCAGTCACACATTCATGACGTCACACCTATATGCATACCTACTGTAAGAATGGTAAGCAACTGGGTGCAGTGGCTCACACCTGTAATCCCGGCACTTTGGGAGGCAGAGGTGAGAGGATTGCCCGAGTCCAGAGATTCGAGACCAGCCTGGGCAACTTGGCAAGACCTCGTCTCTACAGTAAATCAAAAAATCAGCTGGGTGTGGTGGTGCATGCCTGTGGTTCCAGTTACTTGGAAGATTGAGGTGGAAGGATCATTTGAGGCTGCTGTGGCCTTGTGTGTGCAACTGTACTCCAGCCTGTGCGACAGAATGAGATTCCTACTAAAAAAAAGAGTGGTAAGCATTGTTTTGTGGAACTTGCTACAGTTTGTGTGTGCGCACGTGTTGAGTTACAATACAGTGCTTGCTGGTACCTTTTTCTTCTGGATTTTATTATTTTTATTTTTGATTTGAGGTCTCACTGTCACCCAGGCTGGAGTGCAATGGCATGATCACAGCTCACCACAGCCATGAACTCCTGGGCTCAAGCCATTCTTTCACCTCAGCCTCTCAAGTAGCTGGGACTACAGGTGTATGTCACCACGCCTGGCTAATTTTTTTTTTTTTTTTTTGTAGAAACTGGGTCTTGCTGTGTTGCCCAGGCTGATCTCAAACTCCTGGGCTCAAACAATCCTTCCACCTAGGCCTCCCAGAGTGTTGGGATAACAGGCTTGATCCACCACACTCAGCCTGGATTTTATTTTTTTAAATGCCAGCTGTGACTTCTAAGTTGATTTCCTGAAGTTTGAAAAACACTGAAAATGTACCCATTCTTTAACACACTGCTCATAATGGTCTTCTGATTAATTTCCATCTGAGTTCAGGTGATTAATACACAGTAAACAATGTATTCCTTCCCAGGCTTGGAGTGGAGGGGGAGATAGGTTAGAGAGGAGCGCAGATGTTTTGCCTCAGGGTAGGGAAGCTCAGCTCTGAGTAGTGAAGGAATGGGAAGGCTGACAGGGAACCTCTGAGAGAGATGGGAAGAGGGCCCTGATGTGGCCTGAGAAGCTTCTGGTGTTTGCAGCTGAGCAACAGCGCTGGGCTTGCTCTGCCTGAAGCTCAGAGTCCCGTCACTGTCTGCTTGCCTTGGCCCTTCGACTGAAGCAAGAGAAGGTGGCACATTCTCGGATGCTCTACGTGTCTGCTGCTCGCTTGGCTCCTTTGTGAGTGAGTTATGAGTATGTGTGGGAGGAGAAAGACCTGCAGTTTGTCCTCACCTTCCTTCATGAGGATTGAGGGACAGAAAGTTTTCAAAGGCTTCACTTATTTCTCCTGGAATGCTATGTTCCTTCACAGGAAAATAGGGAAGTCATATCTTTAAATGTATATAAACTCTTAAACTCCTGCAATTTGAAAACCAGAATGCTTACCCAGTCTAAGTACCCTCCATTTAATGCATAGCTCCTTGCTTTGCAAAAAGGAAGCCATGTAAACTATCCGTGTATACTTTTTCTTTAATCATCATCTACTTTTCCTTAGGGCTAAACCCAGCTAGTCAGAGGCTAAAATACAATTTGTTTTGCTTTGGGGAAAAAAACTCCACAACTTAATGGGAAGGATCAAATGCTGAGTCCTTATTAGAAGCTTCTTATGCCACTTATTCAGTCTCCACACTGTAGTGCTTCCTCTGCACTGGTAATGATCCAGACCATATGCTGGCGTAGCAGAGCCTTGGGGCACGAGGGGCTGGGAGGACTTGCTTCCCCTTACTGGGGTCAACCTGTGAGCCGCTCGCAGGGGGCCAAGTGATACAGTAGAAATGAAATGAAGGAGCATTGGATCAGAGATGTGTGAGTCCCAATTTCTCGCTCTGTGATGTTGGGTAAGTTGCTCTGGTCTACAGTTTTCTTGTTATTATTTTTTGAGTCAGGGTCGCTCTCATTCTGTCGCCCAGGGTGGAGTGCAGTGGTACAATCTTGGCTCACTGCAGCCTGGAACTCCCGAGTTCAGGCAACCCTTCCGCCTCAGCCTCCTGTGTAGCTGGACTACAGGTGCATACCACCACACCCATTCACTTTTTTGATTTTTTATCAAGACAAGTTCACACTATGTTGCCCAGGCTGATCTGGAACTCCTGGGCTCAAGTGATCCCCCTGCCTTAACCTCCCAAAGTGCTGGGCTTACAGGCATGAGCCACTGTACCTGTCCAATTTTCTTATTTCTAAAATAGAACTTGGTGAGGACTACATAGTCCTTTGCTTAGGGAAAGTTGTCCAGCCCAGAAAAGTTCTTGATATACTAATTTCTTCCTTGTTTACCTTCTGGATATTTACAACCTTGTATTGATTTGTTGCTATATGCCAGGCACTGTATATAAGTGCTATATATATACTATTTAATCCCCTCAGCCTCCCGTAGTCTAAGATAATTTTGGTAGTGGAATGTCTCTTGTCAGGCCCTGGGCTTTGTGTAGAGCATACTTCCAGCCTCCCCCCACATTCCTCTTTTCATTTGGGTTAGCTGAGATTTTGAAACTTCTTGGGAAAAGAAGTCACATCTTTGGACCTTTATCCTGGGAGATGATGCCTCAACTCACCCATATGAAAGGAAGAGTGTTCTGCTTCCAGGTTTCTGGCAAGAGACAATCACTACCAAAATTATCTTAAGACTGGGACATCGAGGGGATTAAATAACAGATATACACAGCGCTTAATACAGTGGCTGGGGCCAGGCTCGGTGGCTCAGCCTGTAATCCCAGCACTTTGGGAGGCCGAGGTGAGT